CCCTTTTTTTTTTTTTGTGGCATCAGTTGGGGGGGAGCCATTTTTTTTTTTTTTTTTTTTTTTTTTTGTTGTTTTTTGTTTGAAAGCTAATTCGTTTGAGCGAAATTTGCACGTAAAGTTTTACAAGGTGATGAGACTGATGGGATCAAAGAACTTTGCACATTCCAAGTATAAATCGGCATCATTACTTGTCTTTGTTTCACTAATTTGTTTGACATGTAATGGAGAACATTTGTTGGCGCTGGGCTGGTCGTGAGTCTGTTGCTGTTTCGTTGGGTTTCTCAGTTAGCCTTGAGAATATCATGTAGTTCTAATTCGCATCCTGCAGAGAACACTGCTCTGTTCTTAGTTAGCAACACTCAGCAAAACATCCATCCAGCTGACACGAGCACGAACATTTTCGTCCAAACTGCCCTCATATAAAGCCAAAAATATTCAACTGGGCCGTCATGATGCCGCTCACCGTAACCTGAGAGTGATGTTCCCTCTAATGTGTTGGGGGAAAAATTGTATCCTCATGCGGTAACCGTATTTGCGCCAATCTTTTGACTGTTTTTCCCAGAGATGCTGCAAGATGTTTGGCTTAGTAAAGTTAAATTAAGTAGTACATGAGCCCTGAATGAAGGGATTTTAAAATGACAGCTTTTCAATACAATCCACTAAACATAGCCGGCCCACCTTTATTCAAACCATATGCAAGGAACAACATGTTTCCCTCTCAGAGGTGAGCCATAAAGAAAATAGCTCCAATTGTCACTGCAGATTCTGACTCTCATTAGTGTGGCTGGAGGGGCATGAGTGGAAATTATTCATGTTCAGGAGGGCGACACTTTTTCGCACATGGCGCATTTCAAGACAGCAAGACCACAGCAGGGGTGAAAAACATGCAGCACGTGATTACTTTAATTACATGCTGCTCTCTAGTACACATATACATATAGAGGACATCAACTAAAGATATAACGTGATTATGTGTGCTCTAAACACTCACGCATGTGAGAAGAACTTAATCATATTCCTCTGACACTTTGTCTCAACCACGCATGCTTAGCTGTCAGAAAAAGTCGTTTATAAAGCCTGACTTTATTGTTTCCTCCTCTCAGTCTGCTTCATTTGCACCAAGAGGCCTGTTTTTTTTCCAGAGCTTTTTGTTTAGCATTCTCATTCACACCACTCCTTTCTCTTTGACTTAGACACACACTGTGGCTTTTGCTGTGTATATATTATATAGCTTGTATATGGGTCTCAACTACTGTACTGTAATTGCAAATAATGTCTCCCATATGTGGCTGTTGTAATCTACCGCTGAAGCTTTCTCCTCTGGATAATCTTCTTGAGGGTAGGATGTCTTATGAGAACGAACAGCATGATGAATAGATGTTGTCCTTTCTTCCTTTAGCCCAATTGTACACACACAAAAAAATGGTTGATTCACATGTGGGATGCATCTTGTAGAAATTAACGGATGGTGTTTTTGAGGAAGAAGCTGTGCGCACAGTTTATCTGGTATCGTTCAATCTTGTCACGGTCTATAGGTGTTTGGACTTTTAGTTTGTGTTATTTTCTGTTTTGATCATTTCCGATTTGCTTTCTTACATCTGGCCCTTTTGGTTCATCCTTTGTGTTCAGCTATTCTCATTGTTTGTGTTTATGACTTGCTTCATCAGATTCGTGTTCATTTCAGTTTATGGTTCAGATTTCTTTTTCCCTTTCATTCTTTTTGTTTCTGTTTGTCTTCACCTTGCCTCCGCTCACCATTCTTCTCCTGATTGCAGCTGTTAATCATTGTCTTATTTTTGCCTTTAACTGCTCCTTTCCCCAGCTGCATCTAATCACCTGTCATTAGCTTCCTTAGCTTCTTGGTCACTCCTGTGCCTTCCTCGGTATCTTTAAGCCCCTCTCTCATCGTTTTCCACTGGCTCCTTCTGTTGCCGGCACCTGGTTGCTTGTAGGATCCGGTGCTGTCTTTTGTTTGGATTGTAAGTTCATTGTTTTTCCTGCATTAACGAAAGTCATTTCCCTCCAGCTTTTTGCATAGAGTCTAGAAAGAGAGCGTTTCTGTATTTATATCAAATAGATTATAACTTATTTACCAAATGCTTAGGTTTTTCAGAAAAGCCAGGTTTAAAAAAATCTACAATTTCCTTTGAAACTTTTTTTTTTTTCCTCGTTTACTTGTAAGAGGGAACGTTCTGATTTAGATCTTTTTGTCAAAAAGCTATGCAGCTTGGATAAGTTCAGCTGGAATTAGGCTCGGGGGTTTAGCTGGTTTAAAAAAAAAATCTGTCTCAGTGTCAGCATTTCCAGTAATACATCATCTGATGCTGGAGGCAATGAGGACATGTTCCTTAACCCCAACGTGATCCAAAGGGTCTTGGATGCTCACGCAAAAAACCGCATGCCGCGTCTCTCTGAAAGGCAGTAAATCTAAGATGTGGTGTCTCCAAATGTTGGATAAAGTTACCAAAATAAATGTCTGTTTTAAAGCAACTAAAAGGTCGTGCTGCCTTGTGTTCCTCTGCAGTGTATCCTGTTTTATGTCGCTGAACTCTTGAATAAATGAAAACAGGTATCCTAATTTGAAGAACTGGTGCAGCTTCAGTCAGTCAGTGCAAGTTATGATATATTTAGTTTGTGCATCTTATCAGAACGCTCCAACTTATTGGCCTTCATATCAAAAGTCAACATGGGATTCATCTGAATTTTATTAGCTGCTGCTCCACATGTAACACAAATAAACCTTCCTGTGTGTTTTATCAAAAATAATGTGCTCTCAGAAATTGGTTTTGTACTTCTTACTGCTGCGGAGGCTGGGTGTGGTTGTTCTACTGTCATTTTATTGATTTATTAACATTTTACGTTGCTTGTCTTCTCAGAATTATTTTTGCATGAAACTATTGCAGTACTGTGTATAAAGCGACTTGTACAGAAGAAAGCTTACTTTTTTTTTTTTTTTAAATGGATGGCTATTAAACTGTAAGAAAAATGGTTTAATTTGGATCCTGCAAGTGGTTGTTGGATTGCTTCTTGTCCAAGTGTGTCTACATCAACATTTTGTGTGTGACTGTTTTCCTCTGCCTTTAGTAAATCATATCAAAGATGTCCTCCAAGTTTTAGAACTTACTTTGAATGATGCTGTTTGCGTTTAAAATAACTTCACATTTTCTTATCTTTGATAGGGAGAGCGACAAAGCAGCGGAGCAAATGAGACAGAAACTCAAACTGTAAGTTCAAAACTAATCAAGTTTGCATAAATTCTTTCTATTAAAATGCATGTATCAGGACTTTAGGCATGCCGGAGCAGAGATGCATCTTGGGGATTATTCACATCTGACACATTTGGTCTGCATTAAACAGATCAGAGTTCGTTTCCCTCATTGGTCCAGACCTTTTATGGAGGTGTGAGTACACTCAACTGAAAACTGGCATGGACCAAACAATCGGACTGAAACACACTCTCTGAGGTGGTCTTGGTCCGCTTCCGAATGAACTCTGGTGCGATTTGCTTCTGGTATAAATACAGACCCGCCTCTATTTGAACCAAAATCTGTATTGTATTGTATTGCTCTTGATATTTAAAGTGAAATTGCAGTTAACAGCACCAACATTTGTGCAACAGAAATGCAGCAAGAAGTATGAATACTTTTGAAGGTGCTTTGTCTCAAAGGGTATTTCTAAAGTTTTATCAAGCAATATAAAAAAAAAAAACATTTAACTATACATGAGACTGTTCAAAAAATATGTTCCCATTTAATTTTTAATGGAAAATCCACAAATATCTTTTTTTTCTGAATAAATATCACAAATCTTAATCCTGACGGGGGTTTTCCACTCTAAGATATTTTCAGGAAACCACTTTCAAAGAATCGTGGGTCCTTTTGGTGTTTGAAGTACTTTCCCACTCGGCCTGAAACAAAGTTCTGAACACATTTGTGCAGCTTGGACCATTTCTTCACTCTTTGTCACAATGTTTAGTCTATTTTCAAGTCAGTCATAGCACAATAAATCGTGAAATGCATTGCTTCCAGTGAAGTTTTGAGATGGATGGGACACGACAGAGCTGACAACAAAGCTCTTCTGTGGAGAAGCCGTTTGGAATAAACAGCACTGGACAGAAAACCTAACTGGGTCACTGAAAGTCAAGTACTTGTAATATTTTGCTGTCAACTTTTATGACTGTTCAAATTTCATCTCGGCAATATGAATATAGTTTTTGTTCCTACGAATTTGTAGTGAATGTTTTTCTCTCTGATGAGAAGATAAATTAAATTACATTTTGAATTGCAGTAAGCATAGTCTGTCATAAACTAAGTACAGTCCATATTTCACACCGTCTTTAGCAGCGATATCTTGTCTAATTTTACTAGTTTCCTGCTATTGTAGAGGGATTTGGGAACCCATTTCTTAGAACAGTGCTTCAGTTTATTGAGGTAGGTACTTCTTTCTGCACATTTTCACCACAACAGTTTAATCGGGTTAAGGTCTAAACTCCACCACTTCATTTTTTTTTTTTAATTTATTTTATATTACCTGCTGTGTTTGGAGTTGTTATCCTATTACAAGAGGAAAGTTTAACCGTCAGACCACAAATGTGGCTTCATAATACTTTGGTGTACAGAGGAGTTTATGGTCTTAGACCAGCAAAAGAAGCCCAGATCAAGACCGCTCCATCACTGTTCATCACAGGTGCTATGAGATGATTTATGCTTGGGTGCTAGTAGTTTTCATCCAATAAGACGATATAGTCAGACTACCCACCGGGTCTTGTCTCAGAAGTCTTTTGGTTCACTCAAATGCAACTTTGTAAACAGCTTAATGCTGCAATGTTGTTTTTAGATACAAGAGCTTTTCTCCGTCATCCCTTCCAAACAAGGCTAACTTGTTCATGCTTGTTCTAATGGTGCCATCAAGACAGCCTGAAGCCTGGGGAGTCGGTACTTTTAGAGGTTTTGGTGTTATTCTAAGCGTTGCACAATCTAACCTTAGGGTAACTTACTAAACGAATAGAGAATTGTACTAAAGGAATTGTAGTAATTCTTTTGGCATTACTGAAAGAACGCTCTTTTAGTAAGAGCATTTTAAATGGGGGAACATTCCTTAAAGATGCACAGAAAGGAGAGACATTATCAGTCAAAGGGTTAGAGCTGTGCCAACAACGGGCATTACTCCTCCATCTCGTTTGGCTTTCTCGTCCTTTATTTCCCCATTTTATATCGAAGTGAATTAATTTTCTTTTCCCTGACAGATCCATTAAAGATCCATTGTCGCACAGATCCATTAAAGTGATCAAAGTTGTTTTCAGAAGAGTTAGCAATGAGGGGGTAGCCAGATATTTTTTCCTATTTTTAATTTGTCACGTTAATTGTGTTATGCTTCTGGTTTCGGCTAGGGAATGAAAGCTGGATGTCTGCATTCCTGACCAGCTCACGATGTTCTTCAAATGGAGATGCCAGGATTTATTTTTTAATCTTGTGCCGAATGTTATCAACAGGCCACCCCCTAAAATGTCAACACAGCTCTTTGTATCATTATTCACAGAAGAAGTTGTAAAGTTTTGGCACCACAGTTGGAGAATATTGCTGGTTATTTAGTGCTTTGAGCCGTTGCACCTGGTCCGGACACTAGGAGGCAGTGCTATGTATTTTAAGCAGAATAGTTCTTTATTTTAAGCTCTAAGTTTATGGTCCTGAAGATCATTTTTTTACTTAAATGTGTACTGTTTATTATTGAAATGACAAATAATTTTGAATCTGAGAAACAGTTTATAGATACTTTTAATAATTTGTTTTTTTTAAAGTTGCTTTTCATTTTCTGTTGAGATGTAACATATTGATATTCTTTAAATTTAGTTTTAAAAAATTGTAATTTATGTTTTTAGGCTTTACATTTTATGGTTAACATCTAAAAAGTTATCACATTGGATGTATCGTTCCCTTTTAAAATTAACTTTCTCCAACCAAAAAAACAAATCTGTACTTTACAGCCATGCAATAAATAGAAATATTTATTTAAAATGTATGCAAGAATCTACGAATTTTTCTTTAAACTTTTAAATTTGCCATTCAGCTGTTACTCAAAAATAATTATACAGTATTTTGTTTTTTTATTGACATGTATAAAATATTTTGAAATATGTAAAAAAAAAAGCATAGAAGAATGAAATGCAAAAATGAAGGGAGATGTTTTTAATGCCACACTACAAGATAAATGCATAAAGTCTAGCTTGTATTTAAGTTCATACATGACTACTGTATCTTCAGGTATTATAAAGCAATTCCTCCTGCGAGAAGGGGAGTGTGGATCAGAGAAGGAGCTTGAAGACTTAACAAACCTGCATCCTTCTGTGGGATTTAAGAGATCTGTGGTGAGCCCAGCTGATGAATGACCCCATGGGGCAAAAACTGAAATGTCAAAAACTCCAGATTGGATACGCTCGGACTTCTGCTCCACTTCTTTCCAGTAGTTTTAGTCTGATGTCCAACTGCATCGACTTCACATTAAACAGGGAACGCAAGTCTCACTTGTCTCTATTAAAAAACATCTTATCTTTTTATCAGGGCTTAGCTTTGTTACTTGAATGCAGTTGTCATAATACGTTTGGCTCAAAAAAAGTCACTGTACGCTAATGCTACACATGTGGTGGATAGAAAAAGAAGTTAAAATGCTCATCGAACATTTTTTCTTTTATTTGGTTGAGGCTCACAGGGGGGGAAGGGCATTTGCAACTAATTATTGTGACACATCTGAAGAGAGAAATTACTGATTTATGTGAACTTTGGACATGAGCAAGTTATCTTGTACAGACAGAAGACAGAGAAAAAGTGAAAAGTACTATATAAAAAGTCCTTTCCTACCAGATAAACTTTATTTTCACAAACTGCCTCCTGCTGGTTGTTGATTCGCTGCTCAAACTAATTAAACTGCAGGATGAACTGTGTTGTCTTCTCCCCCCCCCCCACATATGGCTTGTTTCTTCCCTTGAGTTCATGTAATATCCCTGCATAGATTATCTCTCTAGCTAAATAATTTATTGGTTCATTCTGCCACTACTTCACTTGTCACACATCTAGTTTTCAGTTTACAGCATTTTGTAACGACAGACTTCCCGACAGATATTAACGACCCTGTATTATCATCTTATCCACTTTTAATAACAATGTTTTGTGTCAGAAGATTGCATTTTAAAATGACCTTTCTGCGATGTATTGTGGTTTGTTTACGTCTCATATGCTGTCAAAATATCTAGATTTTCTGGAACTGGAAAATATTTGGCCTTGGAGATTTTATTTTATTTTATTTTTTTCTCAAAGATCAAACACACAGCATTAGTAAATGCAATACAAATCTTACAACCTTCATCCAGGCTACTTTATTATCTAGTAAATAATCATGTGTCATGCAGCACAGCCAAAGGATGTAGAGCTGTCATGGGCTCCAAATTTGAGGTGAACCTCATCCCCTCCGCCCCACACACCCCCTCCCTGTTTCCTAATGGCTCATTACCTTCAAAGTGTGAAGTGATTTATGGGCAGCGGTATGCCTGGGGGCAGTCCCTGTCTGAGGGGCTGTCATACACACTGATTGCCTCTGTTTGTTTGTGTGAATCTGTTTGAACATAACCTGTGTGAATAGGATACTACGAAAGCAGCCATGCTGTATCTTTTTTCTTTTTCTTTTTTTTTCTTTCATCCAAACCCATTACGAGCTCTTTTCGCTCTTTGTAGCCGAGGCTGTTTGTTTTCCTTTCTGCATGAGTGAGACCTGTTCTTGGCCTTGTTCCTGGTAACGGGATACAAAAATGTTTCCCTCTGCTCTGTTCTGATTGATTGCTTTTTAAAATAAAGTAATATGACCTCTGAATCTAAGTGCCTTACTGTACATTACTTCAGGCTGTGAACCTGACTATAAACCTAATGCAATGAGTGATGACCAACAAAAAGCACACAGCGAATCCCAGCACCGGCTCTCAATCTGTGCTGCCGTGAAGATCACATTATCCTGTTGCACGTCTTCCTCCGCATTCATTTGCTATTGTTAAGAGGGCAAATCAGAAATGACTCATCGAGACCTGAGTCATTACTGGAAATGCTTGTCTGTGTCAACGTGACATTGTAAACAGCTTGCACTGGTTACGAGGGAAATGCGTACCTCAGATTAGGTTTGTATATAAAAGTCTGGGTGAATCCGTTGCTTGCCCTTCTAGGTCTGTGTATGCATCGCTGTGCAGCTTCCGACGCATGTGAAAATGGCAGGTGTTCACGCGGGGAATGTTAACGCAGCTATACTTGTGCATGCTTGCTGTCGCTGCAGCCCTGTGGGGAATGCGAATGTCTTCGTCCATGTGTGGACCACCCAAACCTTTTGATGTCATAACAATAACCAGTCCATTTCCTTTCTGTGATATGCAGCACATTATCAGTCCACATCACAGCAACATGGCCTCTCTGTTTAGCTGACATGTCACAGCTGCACAGGAGGTTACTCCCCCTCCTGATGGTTTTATCTACTTTCACGGAGTCCTACATGTACAATTGCTGTACTGTATTTCAGATTTGTGCTTCCTGAAAAGCACAAATGTCCTTTATTTGAGCTATTTAATACGCCAACAGATATCCAAGTTTGATATGACTAACTCTTTTCCCTGCCTGTCTGGTCTGGAGAAGGTTTCGTACAAATCTTGCTCTTTTCGGCTGCCTCTCCACATTTTTGCACCTTTTTTTAGCCTAAACAAATTCCTTTGGTCTGACAGTATTTTCGTGTTTGTGCAACTCTTTATTTTGTGAATTTTTCCCTCCTCCTCTCAGTGAGCAGAAATACACTGTGGTAATTAATATGGTAATATGTGTGTGGGGTACAATTTTTTTTCCAGGAACACTGAAAGCCATTTTAAATTGAGGTCTAAGTGAGGTTTCATCTGGAAACACTGAGGGGAGGTCTAGTACACCAAGTATCTGTCAGTCCCTGACCAATTAAAGAGGAAAAATAATATTTGCCTTCTTTCTTTTTTTTTTTTTTTACTTTTTTTTTGGGAGAAAGGAAGGCTTTGCTTGTTGCCAGAACTATTCTCATTTAACCTGAAAACACTTGAAAATATAGACTAATTCACTTTAGCTTAGGAGCTCCTCAGTGAGGAAAAGAAAAAAAAAATTGAGGTTTTGTTCACTCAGTTGGTGGTTAAGCAGGAAAACGGTCCAAAATACAGTACAAAGAAGCCTTAGTAACTTTAAGGGACCTCTAATTGATGATTTATTGTACAACTGAGTATATTCACCAGAATTAAAAGTATCAATGGATCTACTGAGCTCTTTATTGGTATAAAATATTATTTACAGGATCCTCTTGTTTGCAAATACAACTGAAAATGTTCATGCAGTTCTTCATTAAAACCCCAGGCATCATTGTTTTTATTGAGATTTCATGACAGGCCAACAGAAAGTTGTGTAAAACTGTGACGTAGGAGGAAAGTTTATTTATGGAATACAGATCCAAAATGTGTGGCATACACGTTTCAGATCTGTAAGACACGTATGCCACACGTTACTCAGGAGGGCTTAGTCTGTGTGCCCCAAAACAGGTTTTCTCTATCCTGGTGAAAAAAAAAAAGCAGCCTCTTGTTCTATGCTTTGCTTCGCACAGAGGATCTGGGCTGTTGGTCATTGAGAGAATTGCTTGCTGGAGGCATGGAGTTTGCTGAAGTTTTACATTTTACCCAACTGCCAACATTTAGCAGTGACACATGTAATGCACCAGATTGACGTTGTTAAGTTTACTGGAAATTGCTTGCACTGTAAACAAAAGGCCTGACGGAGAAGGGAGATGAGAACAGAATCGAGTGGGAAGGCACTGGCCAGGTTAGCTTTTTTTTTTTTTTTTTCCCCATGATTGCTCCCGTTTTCCTGTGTTTCACTCTTTGTTAAATGTCAGGTTTGTTTAGTTGTCCTGTTAAGCTTATTCCACTTTAGCTGTTGTTCTCTACAGATCCCTCAGAATTACCCCCACCATCTGGGGGCCTCTCCGATTAATTTTATTTTGCTTTCTCTGCGAGATGTTCAAAGGCTGGAATATAGTTTTATGACTTATCTCTTCTACAAAGATTTGTCCCTGATGAGTTTACTGTATTTCTTGGATACTTGGAAGATACCAAAGTTGCCAGTCAGCAGTCCAAGTGACTTAAAGGCCTGAATTTATAGGGCTGCACACTGGAGACCATCCATGATTTGGTTTGTAGAATATGTCACTCCCGGTCATTTAAAATGTATAAAAGCCTTTCAGATTTTTGATGTGTAGTGTTGTAGAAAGCTATAAATCACCATTATAATTAAAAAAAAAGCCTTTAACTGCAGAAGCAGTTGAGAGAAACAACACAAATATAGCTTTTAAATTTTGAGTGGGTTGTGAGGAGTTCTTTTCCCACACTCAGCAATGAAATCCATAACCCAGATAATGAATCATACTGGTTTCAAGGAAGATAACAACTGGGGCCTTCCAAGGAAAGAGAGTACTGGTTTTGATTTTTTTTTTTTCCCCTTGATTGCATGATCCCACGTATCCCCCTATGTGCTTGGCGTGGCTCCTCTGTGAAAAAGGATTGTAAGTACTCCTTACACTCCTGGTGGTGTTTGTGTGCTTTGCTTTTTGTGCTGCTATAATCTCTGCCGGTATGTGGGTCCCCCAAGAGAGTACTCAAACTCCTTTGCAAAACTAGCCCTGGATAACAGATACTCAAAGGGTTTATTATACAGCTTTAGATATATGTGTCTGCTTCATCATCACTGACAATCTTGTGATTTTCTAATGCACTTTCTTGTATTTCTTTAAATGTTTCCTTACGCCTTTTATTTTGCTCAAATTTATGCTTAAACTGTTGGAGTGATGCTTGATTTTTATGCTGGGCAATATTTATTACTTTCTTAGCTGTTTTTTTTTTTACATGCATATTCAGACTTTTTTGCATTTGTTTATATTTTTCCTAAAAAAAAGAAACAAAAACCTGGTATGAGTCACCAAAGTGATTTTATGCAGACATGAGAGAGAGCACTACAGTATTTGCGTGATGAATGGCACCACTTCCACTTCCTTTCAGACGGAGGAGCTTTTAATTGTCTTTGTCTGATTAAATCAAGATGCTGAAACACAAGATGGTCTTTGCAATCTAGTGTCTATTTTTGAATTACCAGTCTCCGCCGCTGCTCCAACCATCAGACCAACAGCAGTAGTGAGTTAAGCCATCTATTGTAGTTTTGCTTTAAAGTTTGCTTGCAAGTCTTGTTTTATGATGTTTTCAAAATTGTGAAATAAAACATGTTGTGCTTTGAAAAGTAGCCACCTCCTCACAGATTTCATCTGTTTTTGTTTGTTTTCGGTGACACTTAAATGCTTCAGATTTAATAAGACGACGATAACTTGACTAAAGTAGAAAAACTAGTCATCTAACCAATGCAGCTCCAGATTCAAAGTACTCTAAAAGTCTCAGGAATGGCTTCGTAACTCTTTCCAGAAAATTTTCAAAATACTTTTTTAATATTCTTCTAATTTCTTTAGATGTAAACAGAATTTGTTGCTTTTTGAAATCTTTGGTCGCACTTCATGTTGTGCAGCGTCAAGAGCAAAAAGCAAATAATACATTTTTGTCTTTTCTTATTCATACTGATCAAGATTCACTACAC